TTTTTTATCTACTTAAATTTTCAATTTTTCTTAATAGTTGCAGTATAAGAGTAATTTAAGAAAAAATATGAACTGTTATCAGTGTAATGTAAATAATCAAAAAATAATAAAAGTTTGAGATGATAGATAGATAATTGTTAGATTATCTTAGAATGATAGTATTGCAAAAACGAAATATAATCAGTGTTGAATATTGTATCATTAAAATAATATCATTTATGATAATTATAATCATCAGATGAATTTATCACACTAGCATAAAAATTACTTCAGCATTATAATCTCTCTTTTAGATTGCAAGTTTAACAAAATTAATGCTTGAAAATAAAGCTTTCAATTATTTATATATCTTTTACTATATCGAATTTTTTTCGATTCTTTAATTTCACATCAAAATGATACGTAAATTATACGCATAGAATAGAATGCAAAAAATCATAGTTGATGATAATTCTTAAAAATCTTTGTAAGGCAAGAACTTGCCAGATAATACAAGTGATACTCGATCACCTTGTTCATTTTTTTCACGCGCAACAGTTAGGTTAAAATCAATTGCACTCATTATACCATCACCAAATTCTTCCACAATTAGTTCTTTAATTGTAGGTCCATATACTGATATCACCTTAATATTTTATCAAAATTTAATTCTATCATATGATAATTTAATCTTTTCTTTCTGTGTTATCACAAGAAGAAATCTTTCTTACTGATACTTATTCATACAAAACTTTATAAGTTTTAATATTAAAAAATGATCCATTGATCGCCTATCAAAATGATAATAAAATTTTTGCTCAAATTAATTACTTTTGTCAAATCTCTCTCACTTTCCTTCATACTATCACAATTTCCTCTAACAGTAGAAAAAAATTTTTCCTTTCAAGTAAATGAAATGGTAAGTTAAATGTATGTTGTTACCAAAAGAATGGGAGAACTAACCTCATGTAGTCGATAAAGAAGTGGATCGGAAGAAATTCCTGAGGTACCCTTTTGAGGCACTGTTTGAAGCCATAATAGAGCACTTTCTGGCAAATCAAATATCTCAGCAACTTTTTCTGCTTGTTGCTTCGTCATCGTCATTTGACCTAAGCATGCTGCAGTTGTCCATTCTTTACTTTTGCCAATTTTCTCCGCTACTGATTTCCATGTGACACCTTTTTGAACTTTTGTAGCCAAAATAAGATTTGTTACGTCTTCTCGAGATTTCATCACTTCGACGGAGATAATTCTGAAATATATCATTAAAGGCAAAAACAAAACGAAAAAGAAGAAAACAAAATTTTTAAAATTGAAATTCATACTAAAAGTTATATATGTTTTGAATAAAAATTAAAATTGTTGAATTTAAATACTTAAAATATAATTTTACCATTTCTTCGCTATTCAATTCAAAATATTTTAATACTTAAAAAATAATTATGTTAAAAATATTTGTTCAATCATTCAAGAAAACTAAATGATCAAGTAAATATTATTGTTTTAAAAATGCTTTGTTTTTCTTACACTATTAAAACGAAAATTAAATCATTGAAAATGCAACAGAAAGATTTGTCATAATAACAATTAAGTAAATAAAGTGAGAAGTAAAATAATCGAAGAAATTTTGAATTTAAATTGAATGGATTACCCGGATCCTTCAAGAACATTTGCAATGCTTCGTCTCATTTTTTTTTTCTAGCAGAATTTATCTAAAGATCAACCGTTAACGGAGAAAAGAAAAAGGGCCGTAGAAAAATGCGAAAGTTAAATGGATTTTTACAAATGTGCAACATATGAAGAAAAATGGATGTAATTTCAACGAATAAAATATTTTGTGTAAAGTAAAAGTAATAATGAGAGGATGAGAAATTGAAGCAGTTGTGTTCTGCGAAATGAAAACAAATGTTGTTGAGACTTTTTCTTCTTCTTTTTCTTTCTACATTCTTCAATTTCTAAACAATGAAGTTAATGACGATTATATCAATTGATATAGGATAATGATAATATTGCTTAAAAATGAATAATTAAAAAATTGTAAAAAATAATGTTAGCAATTATAATTAAAACAATAATAATAATAACGTTATCAGTGATATTTTCTTTGTGATTCAGTAAAAAAAAAAGTAAAAAAAAGAAAAGAAACGAAAAGAAGATAGTGATAAAGAAAGGAGGAAATTGTTAATAATTTAGTAGTATAAGGCAAAGAAATTCATTAGCTTTAGCTCTATTAATCATTGCTGTTTTCATTTGAAAAAGATAATTTTAAAAAGTATCAAAATAGCAAATATTGCTGAAAAGATTTCAAAATAACGGATTCTGATGTTCTCGTATCATCATCGGATTCTCGTATCATCACAAGATTCTCGTATCATCGCTGTATCGATGTTTACGATAGAGAAATGAATCCATTCATTTCTTTGATCAACAAATTGTTTTTTTTTTTAATAAAAAACTTCTCATGCTATTGATAAACAAATTACAAATACATTTTCTATATCATTAAAGATTAAAATGTATGATTGATAAGAAGAAAAAAAGTGGAAAAAGCAATTGTTTTATTGTTTCTCATTATGTAATTTTTCTTTTGTAAACATTCCTTGATCTTACTTTATATACAAAGTAACATTTGTTTGTAAATAAAAAGTCAATAAATAGTAATTACCTGGTGCACCTAATCAAAAGATAGCAATATTTGTGTGATCAAAATTATTATAAAGGATAGGAATCAAATGATAATAAACACGGATATATTTTATTAATTGAATGATTTGAATTTCAAATGTCTAATTTTAGCAATGGAACATATCTTATTGAAACACATCAAACTTGATTTGATAAACATTTTTGTTAAGAATTCATATAATAAGCGATGTTATTTGATTGGTACTAAACATGAGATTCTACCTATTTGCGAAGGGTATATGACCTCAAGGATAGATAATAGAATAGGATATATGACCTAAAGGATAGATAATGGAATAGGATAATATGACCTAAAGGATGGATAATGATGGAACAGGATACATAACCTCAAGGATAGATGATGAAATAAGGATATACTTGAATGGATCAAATATCTATCTTCTTTAGAAATGATTAAGTAATATTGATGGCTCAATTACTATTCTTTTAGTTTTACACTTCTACCAAAGTACTTTCAAATGTTTTCTTATTTTTTTTATTACTTTAGCAGCAGTCTACAGATTATATTATTCTTTCTGATTTCTTTTGAAAAATTAAATCTTATTGTTTTTACATTTTAACAGATTTTGTTTTAATTAAACAAATAATTTTTTTACATTTAATTACAAACAAATGAAACATCGATGGATGGCAGAAGAACAGTTGAACAAAACAAAATAAACAGAAGTAAATCAATTTTTTTCAATAAATTCATTAGTTTTTCACGTTTCTAAATTGTGTGTAGCCTTTAACATAATATATTCTGAAGATCATATACATATATATAATGTGTGTATATGTATGTGTGTGTGTGTGTGTGTGTGTGTGTGTGTGTGTGTGCACACATATATGCGTGTCACATTAATTAATCATTAATCATTGCATGCAACAAAAATTTTGAATTTAAACAAAGATTGAAGAAAAAAAAGATCCATTAAACTGTTAAATGTTTCCGCTCTGATTTATTTGAAATTGATATCGACGAAACGGAAAAAGAAAAACTATCACAAGTATTTCTTCAACTCTAAACAATTTTTACGACTTTTCTTGATAACAATGAAAAGGTAAAATTTGAAATGGCCAAAAAATCATAAAACGTTCAGAAAATAATGCCAAATGTTGTGATTCGACGAATGTTTCCCGGAAACCTTCGGATTTATCAGGAGAATACTGATCGTATTTTAATTATTTGAGATGCTCACTTATTTCATATCGACACTTAGCGATATGTGGCATCTTTGTTAAGTGAATGAGCTGGAACTTTTCACCCTTCACTTCTAGCACGGCACAATAGTGGTGATAATGATGGTGCTAGGACCCGTATTAACCCCTCTTCCCCTGACATTGTAATATTAGTCAGTATACGCTAAACCTGAGAGTCCACTTTTCGTCTCCTTCATTTATGTACGATGTCCTTCAATTTCCCCTTCTCCCCATCTCTCCTATCCACTCCAAATGACATTGATGCACTTTCTTTTCAGCCCTCATACACTCACTCATCACTAATGTCTGTGTAGGTTACCGTGTCGATAAATAAATATCTTTGTTACTCCATCTCGCACTATTTTAGCTATTTTATGGTTAAACGCAGTCGCTTAAACGTTCAAGCAAGTAGACGTAGAGTTGCTTAAACGCATGAGGAGCAAGTAGACGTGAATAGCATGACGCATGGGATATACAGAATGTACTGCGATAATATCCGTAAGCGTATGGTTTGTTAATATCATAAGTATAATTATATGGTGTCATAGTTGATTTATAAGGTAGTAATGTATGTGTTATACGATGAAATTAATTAATAATGAGTGCTACATAATGCAAAATTTGCTGGTCTCAACTGTTTTTCCCGTTATGCGTTATCGTGACAAGTGTTATTATTCATTAAGTATTTGATGTGATCGGTAACCATGTGTTACATGCGTAATTTCCTACAAAGCTCAAACTACTGTAACTACGGTTATTTTCAGATTCAGGTTAATATGTATTAATGTATATATAAATATTATTGCTTATAAGATTTGTCATCACTTCATAGAGGGATCGTTTACTGCAGAAGCATCTTTTCCAGAAAAGGTTACTTCACTTTGTCTTCGTAAATTAATGCCTCTATGAAAGTGTTGATGTTGATTTAATATTGTTACGGGTGTGCAGTAAAGCAGGTTGCATAGTTTTCTGAAACTAGTCGAACTGCAGTTCTATGAATTTCCAAGGTAGTCACCTCGGTATCTTATCGTCATTTATTTCCAGAAAATTACCGATTCATCACCGCTAATTTATTCATCGAGGGAAATCAAATTTATTGATTTTTCATCTTTCTGCATTTATAATCGTTTAACATGCGCGTATGGTTTGCGTTTGGTGCGCTTTTTGCATTTGCAGGAGCAGATCAAGTCGACCCACTTACTGATAAGGACCATTTCAAGGTTTCTCTTCTATTTATCTTGTTTGCACACTTGCAGTTTCCGAAATTCCAAGGTCACGTCTGATTGGTAGTTGATAGCTGCGCGTTGTTAAGCTACAATTTTTTTGATTTGCTCTTCCAAAGACATTGTGATTTTAAGGCTGGCGGGCATGACAGCAGATTTGACCATGAAGCCTTTCTCGGTAAGGATGCTGTAGAATCAAACGACGTAGTAACCAAAGAACGTCTTGCGTAAGTGTTTGATGGTTGTTATTATTGAGGAATGTATTAGATTTGCTTTAAAATTCCGTGTGATACACTGTGGGATGAAACTGCATGATAGACATGTCCATATTTCTCAACGGAAATGCATAATATCAGTTATATGACATTTAGTTTGATTTAATCAAATTGGCGATAATTTTATAAGAAACATAAGATATATGTAGATAATTAAGTAGCTTGTTAAACATTGTTGGAGCTACTAACAAATCCACAAACAATTTGTTGGCTAATGTTCAGTTCCTGAAACATATCATGCTGAAATTACCGTAGTTAATATATAAAATTTTACAAATTTTTATGTTTGGGTTTGAATCAAACTGAAGTTTTCAGGAAATTAGTTGCAAAAATGGACATAGATGGTGATGGGTTCCTGGAAGAATCTGAACTGAAGGATCACATTAATTTTATGCAAAAACGATACGTAAATAATGATGTTGATCGAACGTGGAAAAATTATGATGCAGAGAAAGTGAAAGATGGGAAAATTTCATGGAAAGATTACATGTGAGTTGATGCTAGTCCGTTGTAGTATGTCTTAATTGGAGCTACTAAATAAAACAAAACGCAAAAATTTTAGAGAAATGGTTTATGGAACAGTAGGTGAAGGACAAGAGTTGAGTCCTGAATATCAGAAAATGATAACACGTGATGAAAGAAGGTGGAAAGAAGCTGATTATGACTCGAACGACATGCTTGATCGAACTGAATATGGGTGTTTTATGCATCCTGAGGACTGCGATCATATGCGTGATGTTGTTGTTCAGGTGATTAGAAAGTAACAATGCAAAATTGGATTAAATACCTCTTTAAATAACTGAAGAGATTTTTAAAGTATAAAAGCCATCCGGGCTATATCGTGTATACGTATGGTTTATAAACGCAAAGCTCTGTCGACATTTTTTTAACTCTTATTTTCAGGAGACACTCGAAGATATTGATAAAAACAAGGACGGATTTGTAGACCTTGATGAATATATCGGTAAGCATAATGCAATATGCATGATGCTCATAGAAATAGCAGAGTATGGAGAGTTGATTCTCGCGAATTTTTTTTCCAGGTGATATGTACAGACCGGAAGACTATCCAGAACTAGACGGTAAAGAGCCGGAATGGGTTGCCAGTGAACGGCAGATGTTCAAGGAGCATAGGGACAAGGACGGCGACGGCAAGCTGGATAAAGTATTACTTAAAACTAATTTAAGAAACTTCACATTACTTTCTTTTTGCATATTCAGCTGGTTGTTGTTTTGCTACTCATATTTCAGGATGAAATGAGGGACTGGATAATGCCTATAGGTTTTGATCATGCTGATGCAGAAGCAAAACACTTAATTGGTATCGCCGATGAAGACAGAGTAAGTTCGAGGCATATGTATGAGATGTTATCCGTTTACATAGTTAATGTCTCTGAACCCTATCCCTTCCACTCCAACTTGTTTCGCAAACTGAACAAGAGCTTTAGAGGTGAGGTAGTAGTTCTACTCATGCTTTGAATGGGTTAATTTGTGGTTTAATCATATTTAATGTATGAGGAAATGGAAATTTACAAATTGGGATGGTTAACCAACTTTATAAAGATCAGGATACCTCATCCTAAAAAGTGCAGTCCTTCAGTCTATCATTTTTGCAGGACAAAAAGTTATCATTAAAAGAGGTTCTGGATCATTACGATACATTCGTTGGGTCACAAGCAACTGATTACGGTGAGCAACTACATAAACATGATCCTGCGGAACTTTAAATGGGTAATGAGATCAACGTTAGTTCGAATTGTTCACACTTTTTTGAATTTAAATTGTTTTGTGACCACTGTTTTGTGCTATAATACTCTTCTGCTTAACTTATGTGTGAAGTTTCATACTCGATATACATTGCACTGACCAGCCAATGACAAGCTAATAAAATACTACCAAATACACTCATATAAGACTTCCCTAAACCAAAAGAACTATAAGGATCTGGTCAGTCTCCATTGTAGTGTTTATATAATTTATCTATTTGCTGCTTTGTTACTCCGTTTGAGCTAGTGTTACTGCCTCTTAAATCTCTATTTTTTAACATTATGTGATAAATTCAATTATATGATAACCTAGCTTGTCATCATGCCTAAGTAAATTAGGAAGCTGATTATAACTTTCACTCTCATGTATAGAAGTAGAAAACATGGAGTCAGAAAACAAAGACCGAGAAGAACCGCTGGTTGGAATTAATCTGCTAGGTTTTCCAAAACAGAACTGATATATACATAGAGTATTTTAAACAAAGTAACACTAACAACATTATATCAAATTCGCACGCATATCTTCTGAAATTGTATCGGTGCAATCAGAGTAACCAGCACCCTACCATCATAATCTGAAGGGCAATCAAATGTACATGATAGAAATTTCAAACCCAGCGAACGTCTACTAAATGGAATATTCGGAAGCTCCGAGGTTAGTATTCCATAAACATTTGTATGAGCCGTTGTAAGCAGTTAAATATTCTAATTCAGAAACGTGTTGTGGGAGCTTTATTATCCCCTCCCAACTATTCTTGATCCGCTAATCTCAATTTCTAATACTATTTAATACATGAAGCAATACAGATACAACCCTTAAGCTCGTGCAAAACACCGAAAAGAAAGAAAATTTTTTTTAAAATATCAGCAAGTTTGAGAGTAAGGCTTGCACATCAATGCGGTGGTCGTGGGATAACCACCCCAGCTACCACTTTTTGACCATGGGAAATGAAGACCGTTGGATCCATCACTGAGTTGCACCATCTGATGACCACATCCATGATACATTACTGTTGGGCGCACTAGCTGCAATACACTCACTTTAATAATACACTGTATAGTAACGATGAAAGTATGGGTAGTTAGAAAAGTGATTTGGAATGTGGACAATATGTTCAAATAGATGACAACTTTTTACCTGCAAAGTATGTGAAAGGGCAGACAGTTCCTTACTCTCCAGAAGATCATACATTTTTGCAATGGAATACATATGTGCCAAAACCAAGCCGTACTGCGACCGCAAATTCAATGTAGCTAGCTGTTCCCAGTGATTCGTGTATAGGTGCCCGCAACTATGCCAAAGTAACCGTATTAAACGACGGCAGTGATTTCCAAAATTATTCGAAAAAGCAGATCCTGAAAGAACGTTCAACATTACAAATATAAGAACAAAGATAGACCCCTCTTACATAGAGAACATAATGAAATTTTACCATATTTAGTTGGATACAGTCGCTCATCCTTTGCACTTTTTTCGCAGAATGATAATACACAATCGATGTATTGCATAGCAGAATATGGATGGTGTTTCCTTCTTTCATCAACCCAATGTGCTTTCCTGTAATCTTCGCAGCAATTATTTTACAAGTTTGAAATTTTCTCCTATATTTTCCGAAATACAGGAAAAGCAAGACCCGAAATGTTACTTGCAGATGTTTATGTGCCAAATATTTCGACATCAAATCTTTTTTGAACTGAATGTAAGCATATGATAACAAATATCATAAAACTTTAATGCGGTTGCCATGGAACTCTGGTCAGAAATTCTGTTCTACGAACTACAAATAGTGAAAAAAGTAAAAAATCAGCGTGGGAAACAGTTCCAACTCGAAAACAGTACTGGATCTCAGCAAATGCAATCTGTCACCTTATGTGAAAATGACTTTCATTCATTTACGACTGACAAAAGTGTGATAGTAGAAACTTACGGAACACCTGGATAGGACATAATAGGACATGAGACCGGAGTGCATACTTCTGATATTGTTCCACATAAAGCATTTACATTTTCGAAAAGAGATAGTGCTGAAATATGTTTCCGTCACTGAATTTCAGCTAATGGCTCGTCAAAATTATAATTCTCCAGATGTTAAATGTATTTATTAGCTACAACCATCCAAAATTTACAGAAACGACAAACGCATAACTTACTGTGTGTGGCCAACCATTCGTTTATGCCCATTCCTTGAGGTAGCATCGAAAGTCGCCTGATCATCTGAAAATGATTAATTACTTTCTGCTTCCTGGAAATCTAATTTTGCTTTGCTATGCTTGCACATCGAATGTTTTTATCCATATGAGAAAATCTACATATCACTGTGTTGCACCTTCCAGTGAACCGTAGCATATCTACTAGATATTCGTATTCGTAATGGATGAAATAATATTAGAATATGTAACAAAACAACACTTACTTCATCATCGAAAGAATCACACACTCCCATTTCAGATAGTGCTTTACATTTACAGTTTGGAGCATGGATACATGTGATCGCATTTTTCCCTCCACTTGATGACACCCGTCGTGCTGAACGGTACCTTTCATTCACACCTTTACGCCGCGACCTCCTAAAAGTGATTTACATTAATTTGATTCAATATTGAATTTCTATTTCTTTCGAAAAACTATCCTGAATAATAATATCTTCTCATATAATTTTAAATCGAAGAACAAGGTAAAACCACTTTAGCTTTCAAAAATGCACATTCCGAACTACTAAACTTGTTCTGTCCTCATAAGAAAAACGCTTCATTTACCATAATTAAACAAGTATTTCTATCAGATATTTGACCGAATCTACGAGTTGAACAATTGAGCAAAAAGTGCAATTAACAATATGTTAAAAGACAAAAATTCGGTCTGGATAAGTTAATATTTATGTGGCTCCTAATTAAAGGACAGCCAATTCTGCAGAAATCAGCTCCAAATTATAAATGATTCAGAGTATAAATTAAGAAAGACTGATAAGTGTGATAAGACAGACGAGAGCAGTAAAAGACTTGAATAACAAAGTGCTTGCATTATCTGAATTGTCCATTTCCGATAGCAACCGGGAAAGTTGCCATATGCAATTTTTGCGGTGTGAATAGCACTGAGCTGCTATCTCTTTAATATGTAACCTTGGTGACTCAAAATGCATAAAACTCAAAAAATTGTAAGAAAGGAAGTTAGACGTGTAGCTTTACGCATCCATTCACTCTATATGAGTAATAGAGAATGAAATAAAAAATGAACTCACGTTGCAAATGAGACGATATTAGAGAGGAATATTTTAGCAAGGCAACAACCATCCTCGCTAACATCTTTAGATGAATGTCTTGATATGGTGCTTCGTTTTGCATGTGCTTGCGGTTTCACATTTCCAGCAGATACCCCAACTGACCCACTTCCACCAGCTCTTTCCGTATTCGGATATTTTTCAGTCAATATCGACGTTACATCCATAGCTACGCCTAATTAACAGGACATTCATTAACAGCACTTAACTACCACAAAGCAGGCTTTCCGGTAATGTTTTTTTAAATTACTATACATTCAAAACAGTCTGTTGCAAAACATTCCCATCATTCTCAGTTGCACGATATTCCCTTTACATATCAATCTTATTAATTTCCCATATCTGTATAACTGATCAGTGGTGGCTATTGCACTTTAGTGCTTTACTTGCGACGACCGTAATTCTTGTTTCGGACCCATGTTAAATGAATAATGCAACGTGTCAATACTTCCGTGAAGTGTTAAGCTCTTAGACAGCAAAGTGCCAATTAATACAATTAGGTAAAATCTTATCACTTTTATACAATTGGACGCTTATCGAATAAATTTTGAAAGGAAATACATAAAAAGTGTATTCTAATAAAGAGTTTTACATCTTAACTCTGTCGCTTTTCAGATTTGTTCAGCACTTTTAAAAACGATAGCACATCCCTGTAGGCGCCTTTCCATATAATCGTGTTCAGCGTCCACCATGCAAGCAAAAAGTGAGATATAACCAGTTGCAGTAAGAAAAAACTGATACCCACGTAAAAATCTAATCGATTAGAAATTTGACCAAATTCATGGCAAAAGTATAGGGGAAAAAATGAGCTCGGACAGAAATGGATAGCCATTTCTAACCCATTGTTCGGCTAACATCAGCAATGCTTTTTTATGAATAAAAATTATCAGCCGCTCAAGCCACCTGTTTTCTTCATGTATTTAAAGTTCTGAATGTGAACCAAATGAAATCCAACAACTTTCAATTCTCGGACATGTCAGGTACAATCAGTGATTCTTGGAAACATCACATAATTCGATGTCAGAATTGGACAAAGAAAAAACACTACCAATTTTCTACATACATTAGTAGTAAATGTAAATTTTCAGTATTTATTTCACGTACTGGTCTAAAATGCACATCATAAAAATTCATCTCAGATATTTGGAAAATTACAGTGCAGGAAATAGTTCCAGAATCATAATTCGAGATTTAAGGGAACTTCTCAAAATAACATGCTTAAAACAAACTAATAAGAACTCCGTGATTTTCTAACACCGTTAGATTTCGATCCCTTCGTCTTTTAATAAGCAAATAACTAGTATAGAACAAGGACACGAGAATCGACATCTCGCCCCAATCAATGAGCAACGTTGCATTCCTTTAAAAGTTTGAACACAACAGCGGAAATCAAGATGCTATTGTCGTCATATCCCTAGACCCATAAAAGCATGACGTCCCTATCACTTGTTACAATATATATATATATATATATATATATATGAGCACGGTTACACCTATATGCTAGATGTACAAGCTGTCAGATCCAATTTTGAGTAATTGCTTTGGAAGACATATACCAACTATATTGATACTTAGAATAAGAGAGTCAAAGAGACCGGAAAAAATGTGGATGCTCTCCTAAAAGATCTACCCCGAAAGCTTCAGACTTCTCCTCTTCAAGATACACTGAGAATTTCTGTCAACACGGTGAGTGACTCCATATGATCTTTATTAAGAATAGATGATACAAATCTGCTATAATTCAATTAATAAAGGATGATTTAGAAGCAGTTATATTGAAAATAAAGTTGCACCGCCTGTTGTTCCGAATTTCTCAGCGGAACAGTAACGCGAAATAAAAGTAATCACTAATGCAGTTTTGTATTTTTATTGGAATGTGTCACGTATTGTTAAATGAATAGCGAAGTTGGCTTTCAATAAGACAAGTTATGATATATTTATTGAATAAGTATGTTAATAAAGCTAGCATAAGTGAAATAAGAAAAAGCCAAAATTAATAATAGGTCGTGATAATTAGACCGATGTCTCCGTAGTGGGTAGAAGTACAGCTTGCGAGAGTGAAGTGAAATGGTCCTTCCTAACAATGAAAACAGAAACACTCCAGCTGTCCTCCTCCTCTCTCGATCTTTATCAAACACTTTTACAAATGGGAATATATAAGAATCGAAAAAAATTGCCTGTAGTAAGAGGAAATTATTAAATACATTTCATCCACAACTAACGACTAATATTAATACCACCGTTTCTATACCAACACTGATCTTAATCGTTGAATGAGAGTGGAGGGAGGAGACTGTCATCAGCGATTGTTCACCTGAGAATACACTTTACAAACACAAACATACATACACATACGCACAACCAGTAAACCAATAACCCTTCATCGCTCTAAACTGAGAACAGTGAAAGATGAATTGTCACATGTGCAACATACATCTGGTATTCGCGACATCAACTACGGCAGACATGCCACTTCTGCATGGCAAAATTGGGGATTTTGATTTGTCACCTTAAACATAACAGCTGAATATAGACATGTTCAGTTTTTCTACCTATCATGTACCGTTGTTCCTCGCCTACATATCTACGCAATTTCGCAGTTCCTGTCCCTATTATGTTCGGAAATTTGGTATTTAGACTTAAACAATGTGGACGAAACAAAACCTATGCTAGGATAGGAAATTATTCAGCTTCATCATTACTGTCCACCCAACAACATCGAGCAAGTCACTGAATACAGTCAACTTTCAGTAAATTCACAGGAAAAATAGCTGTATAAATGTCAACTTCATTCTACGAATTTTCTACATAGCCACGTTTATCTTTCGTCATATTTTATTTTTATAAACTCCTGAAACTCTTCAACTTGGCTTAAACCGGTATGATTCTTATCCACTACATAGTTAATCTTTGTTGAAACTCATAAAGATCGATATCAGCCTATTCTTTCGCACTTCGAAGATCGTATTTTTTATTCGAAGCGAATTCATTATTTTGAAGAATATCAGGTTGTTGAGAAAACCAATAAACACGGACATTAAGCTAAGGAAACATGAGATATGGTATCCCCTGTTGGATAAGAACTATAGAAATCTCTGGATAAATGTGACTGCTTAGAGTTCTTTTCTGAATGCAACAAGTGGAAATCGCAGTGTTGAGAAAAAGCAAGGCAAAGGCAAAAGATAAAAAGGAAAAAGCGAAACTTAATTAATGAAATTGAAGAAAAATGAGGGAAAGCATTCAACGACATGTTTGATCTATAAATAAAGTTTCCACAAGTTTAAATTACTAATGCTTATCTATGAATATTAGTCTCCTTCAAACAATTTGATACGAATTCGATATGGAGGTCAAATTTCAAATGGACTAATTTATAATCAATAAACGAAAGCTTGCAAGCAACTAATGTTACTATACACACAAATTGCTGCAATAAAGTACCTTATGATGAGTTGATACAAACAAAGGAATATAAAAAAAAGCAGTGTTAGAGACATAACCAGCCAGCCATTCTGCTAAAAGGATAGAGATGTCATCCAATTTTATATAATTCCCACAAATAATCTTAACATGGGATTCCTTACCGGGCAATATTAAGACCTACTTAGTTATCCATTCGACCGTATCACGAAGATAATCCGGAAGAAGCCGGTCAAGTCGGCTATTGATTTTGCTAGACGCCAGTGTAGGTATGGGTAGTGTCGAGTTGGCCAACTCAAAGTAAATTTTGAATAACCAGCTTTTGCATTCGGCTGCAATCAATTCTCACCAGTGAATTCGGTACAAATAAGCTGGAAATACAAAGAAATAAAGTGAACAAACCAGTAATCTACTCGAACGTCATTATTCCCGGCTGCAAAACAACGGAAGAAGTTCTCGTACAGATTGCCACTAATCGCGGGAAATCTCGAACAAGGGGCTAACGCGAGATGGCATCAAATCAAACTACGAAAACACATTAACAGAATCCAAGAGGAGGGGGTGAGGATTCGAGCCATTTCACCGGTAATTTGCGGATATGATGCTATGCAATCTACTTCGTACAGAGTCGAGGGACGTCATCTGGGTTGGCCGGATCGTTCTGAGCTGTGGAGAAAGGAGGAGATGTTGGACGATGTTGCTGCTATAATGCACATGGTAAATTTTCTCATTAAGCAAAAAGCGCTATCTCCACGATAGTTGTATTTTTTCGCTTTTTTTCTTTTTTATATTGCAATTCATCAAAGTTGTATTTATTCCCTTCTTCTCAACAATAGTATCATCAATCTTCACTATCGGGTCTTAGTAAAAATAATTTTAGTGCTTATATTACCCACCGATTCATGAAAAGTTCCTTTTCATTGTTACATTCTTTTGCAGAAATTCTTACAATTTAATGGATTTCGAATAGAAAACTTTATAATACTTCTTGTCATAAATGTTAGTGAGAGATTTGACGTTGATCATTTTCCAGTAACATACGAACATAGGGAGGAAAATAAAAATTCATGGAATATTTTTGGTGTGGCCGTCTTACATATCTATATATCAGAGAAAATCGAAGCATGAATTGTAGTCAGTAGTAGGAGCTAGGCTAGAGTTGCTTGTGAGTAAGCCTAGCAATATTTAGAGGAGGAGGGAAGGCTTTAGGCTTTAGAGGTCTGACAATGCGAGTTGCTTTGAAGTTCTTTTGATCAATTTGTGCGAATATGTATTTCCCGTGCTGGAGCAGATTGACGAGGTCTTCTGTGGCAAGGCATCTTTCATTTCTCTTTTAAAGTATACATATTAACACGCTTCACTGATTGTCTTAGTCTCTTTTTTTCACTTTTATCGAGGTAAAAATTTTTAGTTTTAACAATCAACAAATTACTAATGCATCTAACTTGGACCGTATTTCGCCTGTAGTGTAACTTAATTACTGTCTAATTACCCATGTATTGGATTAAACTAATTGGCAAATGGATTAAACGGAAGCGGTCTGATGAGTTTTAAATGAATTGAGCTGAATTGGCTGGCATTTAGATATATCTGGATATAGAGATGAATCGCTTTTATGGCCTCTGCTTTGGTCATTTTATACTTATATTCACAATTATATTTTGTTCTTGAAATTCATTTTAATAAGTATAGACTTGTTTTTTTCAAAAAAGATTTTTATCTGAAAAGAGCAAAGAAGCACAAAAAGCCACTTGAAACATATAAAAGTTGGCATGTAAGGACTTCGAATGGTATTTTGTGAACGTGAAATTTTTTCTTTGTCATTCTTTTCCACTACTTTTCAAATTCTCATTTAGCTACATTTTATTGTGGGGAAGTACGTTCTTTTTCACTGTTCAACTTTTTTCAAAAGTAATTTCACTTCGAAGTGCAATTCTTCCCTCTTACTATTCAAGTGGAATCAGAACAAAATGATGAAATTCGTTGTTCATTATACCAATCAAAACTGACATGAATTGAATTTCTTAGAATTTAGATATAATCAAAATGGAAAATGTTCGAGCATATGGTGCTGGTATGGCTGGTGGACAATTTCAACCGGACGTTTTCCTGAGAAAACCGGCTGTTATCTTGCGAATCTTTGCTTTGGTTCGTGGATTGTACAGCTTTTTCCGAAAAATATCGGTCTGATGAAGTCGTTTCATAAATGGAACTGGGGAAATTTTTTGATTGAGTAATGGTATTTGTTGGGATGAAGGAGAACTCTCCACAGCATTTCGCTGAAGAGTACTAAGTTCGCTGTCGTAATTACTACAGATCAGTAACCACGAAAATTTTAAGCTTGTGCATTTCACAGTTTGAAGCATTAAAGAGACTGAAAAGATGCGCATATAAATAGCAGTTTCACTTAAGATAGTTGGACTTGCACAGTGGATCGCCGTATCACGTGGTGGTTGGTATACACCAGAAGATGGTAAAGAACAAATTTGCCTTTATGCGAACAGTTCGTCGACCTGCTCCTTCGGTTCAGCGATGGGTTTTTTTGCTGTCTTGAGTTCATTGGGTCTGCTGTTTCTAGACGCTAAATTTGAAAAAATTAGTTCTGTTCCAACCAGAAAACGGATTGTAACTACTGATATGATTCTTTCTGGTTTGTTAACTTTTCTATTATTTTCTCAATCGCACAATATTGAACCATTTTTGCAATTAATGAAATCTTATTGATCTAGAAAAAGGGGAATGTCAGATACGATGCTGAAGGTTTATTTCTCGAATATAGCTTCTCTTCATTCATTGATAACCAACTCGAGACTTTTGTAGCCATCTTTGTTTATCCTTTGAGCTATTTATTTGATAATTACCTCCTCTGTTGCGGCCGAGAAAAGCCTTCGATATCCATTCAGTTTTTGTCAGCCGCAGCAGTGGACAAGAATTCATCAAAGACCTTAGATATGCAGAGCCCCAAATCGGCTATGGATTTAAAACAATTTAATATTTTGAAACATTAAGATTTCAATATTTTTTTTCTGAAATTTCAAATTGATCTGGAAAACTCTGCTCAAAAAGAGTGAGTTATAATTTTCAGCATTGCTGGCCTTCTTGTTTCTCATAACGTTTTTTTCGTTATGGTCAAAGTATGGTGAGGTGGATATAAGTCAGCCGTATGACGGTGGTATGGCCAAAAGTGCCATATTATTTGCGCTTCTGTCATTCGTTATTTGGGTAATTTTTTAGTCTTGTTTCACCGGACAGTAACGAATTTTCATTCCATTACTAGAAGCTTAGCCTCGGATTTTTGAGTTTAACATGAGATTGGGTTTTGACGAGCTAGAAAAAGTCCCGATTAGAATTTCGATTTTATTTCTTGAAAATTTCTACTGTTCTGCTGTTTCTTCAGTTCCAGTAGACTTTTTGCAGTTACCCAATGCCGTAAGTAGTTGGCTCATTCAGTGAGAAAATTGCTATCAAAATTTCATCGATTTTAGGGTGCCGCTGCGTTTTTGGCATGGCGACGGTACGAGGAGGGTGCAATAACAAATTTCGTACCATCCTATGAACAGGATTTCGCAACTGGCATACAAACTGGACCAGATTACAGCTATGGAGGAGAAAGCGATATCGGCGCTGCTGGCTAGTTTATTTTGGCAAATGGGACTATTCTAATCATAATGTTAAATGTTAAAATAAGATTCAAAGTTATAGGCAACCGAAAAAAAAACATTAAATTATTTATGAAAAAACATGAGATTCAGTGGAAAATAGCTTTTCCTGAGTAGTTTTTAGGAACACTTTGCTATATAATTTATATAGAAATGAGAAAAATCTCCATTGTGTTTTGGAAAGTTCAAAATTTAAAATATTTCAGGACAGAGTGACAGAAGCACATATCAAAATGCTCCATTCACAGCAATCAATACAGCAGAATCTCCGGTAGATATTACAAAAAGTTATCAGGGATATTAGCTAATTTTTTTCTCTTCGTTTTTTAATAGAGCGAAAAATGCTTAGCTCAAATGTGTACACAGGTTTTGCCAACGTTCGACATTTTTTTTTGGAATGCCTTATAATTGAAACAGACCGGTGAGCACTATTGATACAATCAAAAAATAGGTTTATCAAAATTTTAGTTTAGAAGGAAAGCCATGAAATCAGCAAAAAAAAAAACGGAATCGTTTGCCAGAATTAAAATAATAACTAGTCTTCCTATAATGTACTTTTTCGGATCACTCATTCGTAATTTCTATGACGATAGAGAAAGCGATTACCTCTGATCCTTATTAATCTACACAAGCATGCATGAATGTTATGCTGTAATAACATTGCTTTTCAAGCTCCAATATGTATGCTTTTCAAATCATATGTTTCGTTTAGAAATTTCATACCTACTTCATGTATGTGAATTAAATTGTGCAAGCTGTATAGCCAGTTTTGTGAATTTTAGCTCAGCTTTTCAGAAATTGCTTAGAGAACGCAAACTTTCTCGAAGTTAAATATTTGTATTTATAATGACGTGCAGTTTAAATTAATTTAATATTTTTGTTATAACAATTATGTTAGACTTTTTCGTGCAAAATGCAGACAACGGTCTAGAATTCCGATAACTTTTTGCATTATTTTGTCCTTTGGAGGCCAGAAAAAGTGTAATTATCTGTAGAAGCCTCCTGGGGAATGAGGCACTTACAAATGTAAAATTATTTCAACAGCATCTTTTAATATGGTAAAAATTTAAGATGTTAAATTTGTCAGTATTTTAAAAGAAAGGCTTTTAAAAAGTTACTATCAATTTATGTAATTAGTGTTGCTATATCTTGACACGAATTGTTTTACAAAAAATATCTGACAGAATAGTCGAAAAAAATTGAATATTCTAACCAATACTTTCACTTCAATGATTCGTGTAACGATCTCATATTTTTCAATTTATTGCTTCAAATTCTTAATGTTACGTGAAATATACTTTTATTTTCTAGTGATAAGATACGAAGTAAACTATGCTACAGGACAATTTAGAATAAAAGCATTAGATTGTGGAAATGTAAACAACAAAGATAAAAGTTAACGAAAAGGGAAATTGAAAAATTTTATAAAGAAATATCACTTGATAATGAATAAAAAAAGTGATATGTATAGTTATAGCAGATTCTTCATTCAAGTCATATCATTTTAACAGTTTACCCGATTTGCTACTTCAGTTATTTGATTAATCTCAGAAACTAAACTTCTCAATTTTCTCCTTTCGCGCTTCTTTCATCCCACTTCATCCTTTTTATCCATTCTTCCATTACAACGACGTAAACGAAAAGAAAACTGGCTTATGAAAGAATGATTTTGTTGCATTGGTGCCAGTTGGTTGCTGCAAAAGTTATTCGTCATTTTAGCTTTTTAACCATTATCCAATGAACGTCTTCCCGTGATCAACCGGTATTACCGGATATTCTGTCCAATGTTTATTATGTTAAATTTGCAATGTGAAAGTCAACTATAAACTTCTGGAATAAAATTTACGATGCTCAGTGAACATTTGTTTTTTCAATAAACATTTGTTTTTCTCAATCTGATAAATGATTGGCACCCGAGATGAAAATAAAGGAGGAGGAGCAAATTTGATAATTTAAAATTTTTAGCTTTCAAAAAGTGATAAATTTATTCACATTGTTCCCTCCGTAATGTCTTTTAATTTTTTGTGGAAGAAGAAGGGATTAATTTTTATAAGCATATAATTTTGTGTGTTTTTATTTTATCCTTTATTCGATAAAGAAAAAGTTTGAAGCAAACTTTTTTAACACATATAAAAGTTAAGAATTGCAGATTACAAATAATTCAAAGTAAATAGGAAGGAAATGATTATTAATCATGTTTCCAGCTTATTTTTCCTCTTGAAAGTAATCGCCAAAATTCTTTCAAAATGAAATTTTAAAAAATAGGTAAATAATTTACTTCGACTAATAGCTAAGCTGTGAAGAATGAAGCATTACGATATGATATGGTACTTTCAGGACCGCAAGGTCCAATTGGTACTTCGGGAATCCGAGGTCTGCTCGGAACAGCAAGACCAATAGGTTAGACTAATTTTCGTATCTGTTGAAACCACTGAGAATTTAAGACCATGGAACAAGGTCCGCCAGGAGATTCTGCTATTCTAGGACCCGAAGGTTGGCCTGGACTCTTTTAATGAAGATTTGTTCGATGTAATGTCGTATTTATCAAACAAATTGGCTTATGAAATGGAAAAAATAATACAACATATGTAATAATTACTGAATACTCATTTATATATAATTTATATTGATTTAAAATTCGAAGATAGATTATCTTCATGGATGAATAGGAGGAATTTTTCAACTGGTTCTTTTATTCATCAGTGTTATGTCGTAAAATAAAGTACAATTTATTTCTTTACCAAAATAAGATCAGCGAATAATAAATCATCACTGTGAACTTGTCCTTATTTTCGGTTTCATAATGGAAGCATAAAACTGAAAGCATTTCCACGAACTTTTTTTAGTTTTAAGTAATAAAATATCTTAGTAAATTGTGTTCGATTTAAACCTGTAATCAAAAGCATGTTTTATTAATAAGTGAATGAGTAATATATAGAATAATCAAAGTGGTAGAATTGGCTATATCTATATTTATAAATAATTATGTGATAAAAAAATATTGAACTAATAAACGATACTTTCTTGAAGGATTGATGATACTGAAAAAATGATTTTTTATTCAAGACAGAAATTTCCGAAAATATATTGCATGAACCGGTTCTGGTTTCCAGAAATGCTTACAGTTTTTTAATTCATGCATAAAAACATAAACAAAAATTGGTCAACAGAAAATAATTGTTGTTGATCAGTGTACTACACTTCGCTAAATAAGAAATTTTATTTGATAACGAATAAAAAAAAGTTGCTTGCTATTTCTCTTATAAAATGACCTCAAATTAGCATCAATTAAATTAAGTCAGTGGAAAAAGTTGTAAAAAAATGACCTCAAAATGACCTCAAATTAGCATCAATTAAATTATGCGTTAGTGGTAATTTCTAGCAAAATTCAATCTTAATACACTTCTCGTTACGAATGTAAAGATGATTAAAAAATGTAGAAGGACTGCAAAATATATGTTTTAGAATTTTCAAACAAATAGAATAACATAGTTATGTATCGGTGGAAAAGATTTAGGAAATGGGAAGTAGCATAGATAGAAATGATATATAGTCGTGTAGAGAGTATAATATTCTTTTGCCATATTTGGGAGAAATTTTTAAATGAAATAGGAAGCAGTCATGCTAACATATAAAGGGATATATTTTTAAACTTCTCAAAATTATTGAGTTTGAAAAAAGTAAACAAAAATAATGATAAATATTAATTGTTGAAGAGCTGTTGAAGCAGATTGTGTAAGCTTCGATGATTTAATTCTTGAATTTGTTTTTACGGCTAAAGTAACACTATCACCAATTCCAGCTTCATTTTCTGCTGTGAATCTAAATAGATACGTTGTTCCTTGACGTAATCCACCAACTTCATATAGTCCATCCTTACCTATAAAAGGATTCATAATATCAGTTAATACATATGATAATCACGTATGTAATACGTTATATATTATTGTTTTAAATAAGTTCATAAGTTTATAAATTTACCTGTTTATTTAAATGAAAACAGGTAGTCTTTTTAATAAAGTAATTTTGCACTTTCGTAGAAAACAAACAAGAAAAAAAAGAGCAGCAATTAAATTTACTTAAATGTACATTCATTTTGACAGCATGCGCCAACCAAACACGATTGTCTTCTCTACTTTGATCATGAGCCTAAAAATTCTTCATTGATTTACGGTATGAAAAATTTCTATCAAAATAACAACAATTGATGAAATATTTTGAATATACTTAGTATTATCAATTGATGAAAATGAAACGGAAAAAATTGACAAATCAGAAAATTCAACTTCTCCTATTTTTGATAAACAAAAAAGAAAATTACATACTTCTTCCAGAATGAATTTTTTAATATATTCTATAATGTAACGTTTTATTGGTAATTGTTCACCAAATCCTTCTTCAATTTTCCATAGGACATAGGTCATTCCAACATCTTGTAATGAAACGTGAACTTCACCAGGTGGACCTATAACATAAGATTCTTTATTTTTTTTTTCGAAATTTCAAAAATTATGATAAAATTTTCCTACATGAAATATGCTAACATTACATACTTGCTTCTTTAACTGCAATTGTTTGTTGTGATTTAGATTTACCATTGCTCACTTCACATCGATATTCACCCAAATCATATTCCGTTGGTGATAAAATCTACAGTACAGTGTAAATTAATCAAAAAATTGTGTTTAAAATAATCTAATCAATATCACAATAAAGATATAAGCAAATTGATATGTTAGAAAATAGAAAATATTTTAAATTATTAGTGAGTTTAACAGAAAAGTACAACAATTCTCATATTGCGTTATTAATATTAAATTAAAATAATTAAAAAGAAAAACTGAGAAATGAAATTACCTTGAGACAACTGCTTTGATTTAGAGCATCAATGAAAATAATATGATTACTATCGTTCCAAAGTTCATTGCTTCTTTTTAAATATCGAAAATGTGTAGCTGGTGGAATCGAACGTGTCACATTACAACAAATCTGAGCTAAGTGACCCAGAACAATAAAACGTTCCACAAACGGTTTACTAAATTCTGGAGGCGCTAAAACTATCCATTTTAATCCAAATATAACTTTAAAGCTAAAATGCTATCAATTACGGAAATTACCATCACATTTTTCTTTTGTTTTCTTTTGCATTTAAACAAAGGAAGATAATTTCGTAGCATTTCTTTCTTTTTTGATTTTAAAAAATAAATTGAGAAAAAAGTATCAAAGACGAACACCAAACATCCAGTCGAATTTCATGTTGTTCAACAACTGTTGCACCGTATTTTTCAAATTCTTGAACTGATA